GTAACACGGTGAAAGCCCTGTCTCTACTAAGAAAAAAATTACAAAAAAACTAGGCCGGGCGAGCGGGGGTGGGGCTGTAGTCGCCCAGCTTACGTCGGGGAGCTGAGGCGAGGATCTCAGCTCACTGCAACCTCCGCCTCCCAGGTTCAGGCAATTCTCCTGCCTCAGCCTCCCAAGCAGGTGGGATTACAGGCGCCCATCACATCCGGATAATTTTTGTATTTTTAATAGAGACAGGGTTTCACCATGTTGGCCAGAATGGCTTCGAACTCCTGACCTCAAGTGATCCGCCCGCCTCAGTCTCCCAAAGTTCTGGGATTACAGGCCTGAGCCACCGCGCACGGCCACAAAATGTATTTCTTAAATAATAAAACTTAAGAGTTGAAATTATTCCTTCACCTGCTGCAGAATGGATGGTGTGTTCACAGGCGTGAAAACATTCATCTCCGTGCGCATCTCCATCAGATGTCTCAGGTGACCAGGTCCATTGTCAATGAGCAGTAATGTTTGAAAGGAATCTTTTTTTTCTGAGCAACAGGTGTCAACAGTGGGTTTAAAAAGATTTAGCAGGGCCAGGTGCCGTGGCTCATGCCTGTAATCCTAGCACTTTGGGAGGCTGAGGCGGGCAGATCACGTGGTTCTAGGCTCTAGATTTAGTCTCTACTGTCTAACTAGGTTGTCACTGCCACATGTAGCTATAGAAATTTTTTAAATTAGTTAAAACTACATGAAATTTAAAATGTAATTCCTCAGCTTCTCTAGCCCCACTCCAAGTGTTCAGTAGCCATATGGGGCGGGCAGCTACCGAATCCAGCGGCACACATCTAGAACATTTCCACCACTGCCCTCCTCTCGCAGCTTCTGCTCCAGCGTTGGTCCCACTGAGGCACTGGCACAAAGACTCCCTCATTTGCAAGAGGAGCACCACTCCTAAAGAGTCCTAAATGCTTTTAACACATAAGGTAATGCATGATGAATATGACTGTTATGGGTGATGTCCTACCATTCTAGATGAAGTTCTGTGCAAGAGAGGATGACTATGCAGAATTGCAAAAGAAGGAAAAAAGTTTAAATAATGTGTCCATTGTTATCTCCTCGGGGCCACCCTTCTTGGGTTCCCAGGACTACTTCTCTCTTAGCAAGCACTCATTCAAGGGCAAGCCAAGGTCAGTTGTCATACAATCCTAGCCCACACCCAGCTCACTCAGGAGAGGAAACCCAGCCAGGTCTCCTGGCTCCCCAGCCAGGGCTGTTCCTAGCACACTCCTCCCTTCTCACAGCCGTCAGCAGGTCTCAGAAGGCTATGGTGAGGATTATAATACAGCCCCATTGAGCAGAAATGGAGCAACTGAGACGCCCAAGTCCAAAGAAGGGCAGTTCACCAGAGTGGTCCCAACCTGCTGCTGGCTTCAAGCAAAGAGGCCCTCTGGCATTAGCTGGGAACAACTGTGAACACAGCCGGCTTCATGGGCATGCAGCCTGTGCAACTGCATAGAGCCCCGAGTTCGGAAGAGTCCCACACTTGGTTCATGTTCTGCTTGAACTCCTGGCCTCAAGTGATCCACCTGCCTCAGCCTAGAAGAAAAAAGAAAAAAATCTTTGTGATCTTGGGTTATGCAAAATTTCTTTTTTTTTTTTTTTTTGAGGCAGAGTCTCGCTCTGTCGCCCAGGCTGGAGTGCAGAGGCGCGATCTCGGCTCCTCGGCTACTGGCAAGCCTCCCGCCTCCTGGGTTCCCCGCCCATTCTCCTGCCTCAGCCTCCCCCAAAGTAGCTGGGACTACAGGCCGCACCACGCCCGGCTAATGTTTTTTTGCCGTTAATTTAGTAAGACCGGGTTTCCACCGTGTTTAGCCAGGAATGGTCTCGATCTCTGACCCTTCGTGATCCGCCCCGTCTCCGGGCCTCCCCAAATGCTGGGAATAAACCAGGCTGTGAAGCCCCGCCGCCCCGGCCGCAAAATTTTCTTAGGACAAAACAACAAGACCATCATAAGAAAATGAATAACCTTGATTTCCATCCAAAATTAAAAACTCTCTTCAATGGCCGGTTGCCAGTGTCACACCATGTATCCCAGCCACTTTGGAGGCCGAGGCGCACAGATCCACTGAGGTAGCAGTATCCAAGACCCAGCTGGCCAGTGGTGAAAACCCTCTCTGCTAAAACTTACAAAAATAGCTGGGCGTGGCCGGTGGCACTACCAGTCCAGGCCTACTAGGGAGGCTGAGCAAGGAGAATTTGCTTGGAGCTCGGGAGGGGAAGTTTTGCATGGAGCCTGAGATCCATTACGCACTCCAGGCTGGGCAACAGAGCGGAACTTCCGTTTCCAAAAAAAAAAACAAGAAAATGGGCCAAGGCCCTTCTTGGGTCAGGGTTGAGAGGCTTAGTTTACTCCCATACCTAAAAAGTTAAGAGGAAACTCACTGGACTAGGGTCTAAGGAACGAGGAAATGCTGAACAATGCATCAGAT